AGCCCTTATATTATACGTAACATATACTCCATATATACACAACATATACCCGCAACTTATACAAAATGAAAACTATCTATATATGAATCAAGCACATCAAGTGTTCAACAAATATCCTCTGAGAAGTTTTTCATCCAAAATATGTACTGCACATACATAGAACATATACTACATATGCACGCAACACATATAGCCGATTGCCTCGTTCCGCGAGTTAAAGAAAAAAAAAACAAAAAAGGACAAACAAGTTTATTAAAACAGAAATCAAAATATAATATATTTTCAATGAATTATTATAATTGAAATATGTTCCAGTACGTAGATTACTGGTAAATTGCCTCTAATTATTATTAGTAGAAAATAACATCAAGAATTAACACCCAAAAAAATTTTCACTCATCTTTAATCCAAAAGCGTCTAAAAATTGAGTTTCGGTTCATCATACAAAGAATACAGACTATTTGTTTGTTGGTAATACACTATGACATAATCAAAGAATGACACACAAGTTACAATATATCAAATCAAAGCCTATATCTTATAGGTTCAATCTCAATTATAAAACAAAATGAAAAACAAAAAACTCGATATGCAACTTCAGGAAAAAGGAAGAAAAACTGAACAGAAGGAATAAAGAAACTCGACTTTGAATTGAGATTGCTGCTTATGAGATGAACCAGAAGAAGCGGAGGTGAAGGAGACGAGTGACGTGAAATTGGATATAGAGAGGTTTGTTCCAATAATTAAGTAAAAAATCATTAATTATAGCATTTCATAATTAGCAGATATTAAAACTCTGGACCTCTGGTATATGTACAAATAATTATGGTACATGTGGTAGGTTTAGTAATTAGCCCATTAGCGTTGGGCTTAAAGGCGTTCCGTTTATATAATATTTTCCCAGTAAGCCCAGTAAAACTATCATTGGTGACCCGACCCGCAACACCTAACAAACCCCCTTCAGGAAACCCCAAGCTCAGTGTCGAGTTTGCGGCTGCGGGTGACGACCCGCCACCGGATAAAGCACGACCACTATCGCTGCCGCCTACCGCCTTCTGCCGTTAGTTTCTTTCATGTTTCTGGTTCGTTTTATTTTATCTTTTGTTGTTTTGTGACTATCGTCCCCGTTCATTGTTCATATGGTAAACGATTCAGCGGTTCCGATCAGTCGAATCAACTGCAGGAAGCCACCACTCCCGCTGATTTCATCGCTCGAGCTCTGAAAAATTGCTAACGGTGACTTCTTAAACCCTTTAATCGAGGTGTTATCGCTTTCTCTTTGAATTTCAAGTTTCAAGTAAGGGCGTGGCTTGGTTAATGTGAACGTACAACTTGTATTTTTACATAAATATGTATCTATGAGTTAGAGCCATCCGACCGACCCGGTTCAGATCCGAATCGCAAGAGTCTTCCCTTCCTTTGAAGTTGGAGGGTCAGGTTCATCGGGCATGTTAACTCTACCGTTACCTTTAGTAACAAAAAAAATGCCACTCCTCTTAACTTTGTGCTCACCTTTTTAATATTCAGACTCCATTTTAATATTCTGAATGATATGCTTACATACTCAGTGCACACCATTTTCATGTTCTGAATCACCAATGTTTTGGTTTGAAGCAATTAAATATCATTAGGTGAGAGAGAACAAGACAACTGTGGAAAAAAAATTAGGAAAAGGGGGCACCTTTCAGATTTTCGTGAAGCTGCTGGTATGATTTCCCCTGTGCTTTTCCCTAGTTTTTATAAAAACCTCTTAAATCACACATGGTTTTTGGTTTCAAACTCTGAGAATATTGTCAGGGGTGCGTAACAAAAAATCCTGTTTGTGCAAAGTCAGATCGAATTACCATGGAGAGAACAAGTAAAATGAGTGGAAAGAGCAGTGAGCGTTCAATCGATCGGCTCAGCAGCTTGCCAGACGAAGTCATATGCCACATTCTCTCCTTCCTCCCCACAAAGCTCTCTGTGTCAACATGTGTTCTCTCGAAAAGATGGAGGTTTTTGTGGGCCCACGTCCCCGTTTGGGATTTCGAAGGAAGATTTGATGGAGTAGAATGTTTCGAAGATGAAACACCAAATCCAGACGTGATTTACAGGGTTATTCTGTGGCACAAGGCGATAACAATGCGTACTCTTCGGCTCCACGTTATAGATTGCAATGAGTATCAACTGGAGACGTGGATCTCCACTGCCATTGGGCGTAAAATACAGAATCTTTATCTCGAGTTTGTCCATACAAATATTGTTATGTTGCATAGATCCCTCTTCAACTGCAAAACCGTGGTCGACATGAGTCTCGGATACTGCAAAGGCTTCTCTTCAACTGGGGACATATGTTTGCCTAGCCTCAAGAAACTTCATCTTTATCATGTTGTGTATGAGGATGATGAAGCCCTTTCGCACTTGCTTTCTGGTTGTCCTTTGCTCCAGGAGTTGATCCTCGATTGCCCCGATGAAGAAACTAATACGAAATTCTTGAATGTATCATCATCCACGATAAAAATGCTTGAGGTGAATTTGGGAGATGACGTTTCCTTTTGTACAAACACGCCAGCACTTAGATGTCTCCGTATGGTTGATTGTGATTGGGATTTCACCAGAATTCCAAAAGATATGCCCTCCTTAGTTGAGGTGTACATCCGTTTTAATCATTGTCATTACTTTCACATTGACAACAATGACAGCTCCAATGTGCTAAAGGGTTTTCATCGTTTACGTAACATCATGTGCCTGAAGATATCGAGCTGTCAATACCTGAAGGTAAGTTGTCGTTTATCTCTCATCTTATTCTCTCTGCAAGCATCCCCGTCTTGTTCTTGAGCTGATTTTTCTTTTCCAGGGTATTGGCGGCATTGTTGGTCCAATCATAAAGTTTAACAATTTAACCAAACTTGAACTCCGGTTGGGTGTTGAATGGCATTTGCTTGTGGAATTTCTTGAAGTTGCTGATAATCTTCAAGTCCTTATTGTAGCTAGAGTTTGCCAATGCAACGCTTTTTATCGTAATTTAAAATATTGGGATTCTTGTATGGAGCCGAAACAAGTGCCTAAATGCCTACTATCGTCTCTAAGAACTGTCACAATTAAGCAACCAAGGTTTGAAGACTATGAACTTGACTTGGTGCGTTATCTTTTGAGGAATTCCCAAGTACTTGAGAGAATGGAAATATTAGCCCCCAAAAATAGATTAACTTCAACTTCAAGTAGTTTTCTTGAAAACGGTCTCCTGGCAGCATTCAAAGCACTTCAGAAAATTGCATTGTTTGAGCGAGGATCCAAGGCATGTCAGCTTGTATTCTTTTCAGATTGTTAGATTGTTGCATAATTGGATTGGACAGGTTTTGGGCACTGATCTTAGGTTATTATTCCTAATAAAGAATTTTCCTTTGGTGCTGTAATAACTCTTTTTCATTTGTATGACAACACTGAATTTTTGTGATGATTCATGAACTTGTTACTTATTCGTGTGATATGAAAGTGCGTCGAACCTACATTTGTGCATGAGTCAAGCGAATGGTGGTGTATATATAGAATGCATATTGCGTGGTGGGATATCTTCTGAAGAGTGGCCGAGTGATAGAATGACATTTTGTATTATAATAACTAGAAGGCCGACGCTGTGCATAGCACAACCGACCCAATTTAAGTGAATGTATGAAGGACATTATTAATTTCTAACACTTAGGTGTAAGTAATATTCCATTTAAATGAGAAAATAAAAATCACAGCTTAGTCAAATATATAAAAGGATATTTATAAAAGGATATATAAAAGGATATTTATAGGAATTCCACACAGAACACACACAATAATGAGAAAAAGACTTGAGAAACTCAAGTGTGCGGTGAAGCTAAAAAAATATAATTAGGCATACCTCTGGCTTGTGTTTTTCCAACATAAAGAACTTCAGTTATTTGGCATTCCAAACACATCAAATAAACGGTATACATAAGAAAGCATGCACTGGCGTAAGCTTGCTAATTTTGAACCAAAATTCTTTGAACCAAAATTCAGTTTTATACCAAAACAAAATTGCGGTTTGAGTATAATAAAAAGAATACTGCAAAACTCATTCTGCAAATAATGAGATCACCTCCATCGTCGTACTCTTTACTGCCTTTATTTTCGTTGTTCTTCTCTTCTCGCCCTATGAAATTCGACTTATATGGTGAATAAAATATAAGAGGGCATAAGGCTTAGAAAAACTACAGTTTTATTCACAATTACATAACTCAAAATGATATTCTTAATTTCAAACTCCAATATCAACCTGATTTTAAGAAATTATTTGTACCATTTGCTATCAGCTCGTTCTTGATGCACTCACCAGCGACCTGCGTACATGTGCACGATCACCTTCTCAGTAAAATGCAAAGAAGCTCCAAAATTGGATATCAAAATGAAAAGAAATGAAAAACTGGGATGTGTTAACTGTTGCTCGAGACTCTTCTGCAAGTTCCTTTTCGTGGGTATCGCTCGGAAATGACACTCCTCATCTCAGACAAGTGCAATGGATCACATACCTGAACAAATATCTGTCATCCCTTGGTATCCCTCCCAAACGGAAATAAAATTTTTATGACAATGAACTCAAGTTCGACATACTTAAGCCAACACACGCGACTTTGATAACCAGGACAAAGTGGTGTGTCACCAAGAATAAAACGCTGATTTGGCATTGATAAAGGAA